GGGGGGGGGGGGGGGGGGGGGGGGGGGGGGGGGGGGGGGGGGGGGGGGGGGGGGGGGGGGGGGGGGGGGGGGGGGGGGGGGGGGGGGGGGGGACGATCCGCCAACCAGACTGAGATGCTGTTATTTTAGTAGACTAGACCGTCGGGAGTACAAATATCGTGACGTGCCTTTGATGCCTGTCTCAACCGAAAACAGGAGAAGTGTTCGCCGTGGGTGCCAGGCGTATGTTTTCACGTATGCGTTCCCCTCTTGATAAATCGGTGTAATGTACGGTATTAACTTATCTTGTAGAATGATACAAAAAATCCAACTAATCGGATGGCGTTGTTTAGGTCGCCGCTTTGCTGTCCCCATTGTTGTTGATGTTTGTCCTGCGTCAAACCCACGCCATAATCGCGTTGTTGGTGTAGAACTCGCCAAGGTGGTGTCCTCCCCAACCACGTACTGCATAGGGAGACAACACGCTGGAGATTAAAGTCAGAGCCCTCTTGCGTCCGTCTACGGGCTCGACCTCAATCGATACAGCCTGTACTTCCAACGACATAAGAGGCGTGGATGCCACACGCTCTACTTTGTTCGCAATGAGAAAACGTCCCTAAATCTTTACTCCCGCGCGACATGACGCACGTGCAAGCACGTCGACATCATCAGAACTAAGTACGCACACACATAAGAATATGAACTCGAAGCACCAGCAGCGAGCGCGTATGCACACGCACGCCAGATTTCCCCATCCATGTATGCAGGTACTCCATAAGAAAAGCTGGTGACGTCAAGTGGTGACGTGCGCGCGCAATTGGCGCGGGCATTGATGACACTTCAACGGCTCGCTGCGAAGATGTACCGATTCTGGTAAAACTCAATCAACGGATGCCGCGAATCGGGTCCTCCTAAACACTCTCTCCGCAGAATTAACCTATACCGGGAACCTCTTGTGGCCAGGACGGGCAATTCGAAGGAAAAGTGTTCCAGATTCTCTGTAGGGTCGACTCCAAGATAAAGAGGTGGCTGCTCTAGGGACTGACATACGTTTATACTGTGCCATGGGAAAAACTGACATGCGTTCATACTGCTGTGCCATGGGTAAAATGTCCAAATAAGACAAAAACGTCACACCAAGAGATTCGAACCAGTGTCTTGCCGACGACGCCATGTGCAAAGAGGTGTACCGACTCCGGTAAAGTCAATGGACGGGTACCCTGCGAATCTGGTCCTCGTTAACATCGCTCTGTGTCTGGCCACGTCCCGCTACTTTACTGCTACTGTTGTTCGGGCGATATGGGGACATTGGACTACCATAGAATTTCAGTCTCTTCTTGGAAGTTATGGAAATTTTCGTCTGCGTACCGTAGGACGTTGCTCCTATCACCGTTTCCTCGAGGAAGAACAAAAAGACAAAAGGCGAGTAAGTTCGAACTACAGGGGGATGTATACGAAAGAGTGTGAGTGATCGTCCGCAAAGGATGGAAGTTTAGCCTTGCTTGGCGTTCATCCGGCAGGAGAGGACGGTGAAACAGTACCGCACTTCGTTCGTGGCCCACTTAGTATTTGGCGCCCACACACAAGAACTTACTCAGACTCAGCGGTTGAGAAATCGAGCCTCGAAAAACGCACAACGTGAGCACCATTTGCAAGCAAGCTCGGTTGAGAAACCGTTGCACTCACACCTATAGAATACCGATCGGTCATCACGTGTAGCGCACAAGAGGGACTAAAGAACCCCAGCCTCGCCCAAAAAAAACATAGAAAGGTAGGTACAGCAGGTTCTCATATCATACAAGTAAGTGCGGGCGGGCGCCAGCGAGTGTATAGTCTATATTTGGCGATTATATCTATCTGGGAATAGAGCCGATTCGGGAAAAAAAGTATACAATATGAAGTGTGTGAATGATATTGTTGTTGTTGTTGTTGTTGTTGTTGACTTCACATTAAACCGTATGCCAGTTGCTAAATGCCAAAATCTAGCAAAGACTCTCGGCCCGTGGTCACGAAAGTGCTGGAGCCATCTGAGGATCTAAAGAACACGCACACGTAGCAAGAAAAAGGTGTACAAGAGCCCGAAGAGGTACTACTACACCTATATATAATCCCTGCAGCACCGTACGCGTGCCCAAAACTGAACTACACGTCCGTCTCACCGTTCGACTACAGCAACATCACCCCCTACTTGTCCCACTCTGTACCAAAACGAATGATTGCCGACTACAGCATACTTGCTGTCTGAAGTGCTGTCTGTACAAAAACACCATGGT